CTGTGAGGCTACTTAGACGATAGAAAAGATAGCACGCTTAGAATTTTTATAACAATTACTAGTGTTTGTCAAACTTTCCGCGAGGCTAGGCGTGTCAGTCAGTTGAATACACTTAAATCTCAAGTAGTTTAAAAGATTGAAGCATTTGGCAGAGACTGGCGGGGACTTCCGCTCTGTGCGAGTATACTTGACAAATTATTTCGTTCTTGTCGTGTTCAAGACGAGGTAAGGGGGTCATTCCGTGTGACGGCTGTTTTTTTAAGTTTTTTAAACACAGAGTTTCCAAATTTTTACTATATATTTATTCAGCCTTTAACTGTAACTTTGAATTTTTTTTAAGCAAAAATATAGCGTGGATGGTAAAGGATTTTTCGATTCGGAATTTGCGCGATGATCCTCAAAAAAGCTTCCACATATTAATTAATTCCCTGTATGCCCTATATCTCGTTTGCGATAATACGTTTATTATCTACTTACCGACCAAGCTTGACCACTATTCGGTACGTTTGCCGTGTATCGTCCCTGACCAAACTCGTAATTATCTTTCGGTGGAATTCGCGATGTCGACTTGAAAAATTGCTTTCGAGGTTGTTGCATGTTTAACGGATAGTCGTCATCCGTTGTATCATCGAAAACAAACGTTTTCCCTTCGTTCTCCTCAGCCTTGTGTTGCTCCTAAAAGAACGTACGTATTCATTGTATATCGTTAACATAATTGGAAATGATTCGATAGTTTACAATGTACAAATTAGCAATTAGTGCATCTCGATATAACAATTAGTGGATCGAGTTTCTTAAAAATTTTGAAAACAAATTGAACAAAAATTCGGGAGAGAAATGATCGTTTTACAAATTGATTTATTTGTTCGATTCCTTTCAAAGTGTATCTAGACGGTGGCGACCCTTGGATCTATCTTTTTTTTAGTTTGCAATATCGGATCGAAATAAATTTAACCCTCTACGGGCCCGTGTAACTTTCAGGTCACATATATCGACATTTTACTAAATAATTTTAGTTTTTTCACAAGATAACGTATACGTCTTAATTGTATAATGTCTCTGATACCCAGTAGCAATATCGATGATCGTAGAATAACTTTGGGCATTATTAATTCATATTCCTGGTGCTTCTAGTTTCATTCGAATAATTATTCTCGTATCTGTTTCTACTAAACTATTATAACTGGCTGTTCCCGAACTCGGTAAAACATTACCACCCGCTATTCTAAATGCTTCTGTCCACTCAGAAAAATCATAATCTGCCTAAAATCCATATTCAACAAGAAAAATGTCGTTAGGTGTATTATGAAATTCTGGATTGGAATGTAAACCATTCGAACAAAGTAGCAATGTTGTATTTGAACTCAAATTTAAAATATGCCATAATTCTTGCAGACAAGAATACGATTTGTATACTTTCGACATATCTGTTTCTGATAATTGTTCTTATAAATGATCCAATTACTCCAGGTCATATAGCACAAATAAAATAAAGTGTACCAATATTTTTATGATTTCTATTAATAGAATAAAATCATTTCGTTAGTAAAATAAATGATTTCATATTTAAAGTTTATATTGACGATACCGAAAATAATATTGGTTCGTAGTATCGTCCACCAAAAATATCAAAGTAAATGCACAATGCACTGATTTGTCCGGTGGCCATAATATCGTTAAGATGGATCTGGACCGATTCAATTACGAATAATAATTTGTTCGTTAACCTTTAGTTCACGGGCACGTTCAGCTTGAAGCAGCTCCTTTAAATGTTGAAATTTGCCGGCTTGAGGAACTTGTGCCATGGGAGGAACACCCCCGCCACGGAAGCTGGGATGTCGTCTCGTAGACGGCGAAAAAGCATTGATTGTTCCGTAAAAGGGTGAAATCTTGTCGAAGGGCCGCAGGGACTGTCGCATTCCGTTTCGTAATATGCTTCCAGCTGGCACTTTGTGCACTATTTTCCCATAAACTGGAGCGTTGCCGCCTGCGCGATTCCGTGGTCTTGCCGTGTATCTTCCTGTGTACGTGGACACTTCTCGACGATACGATCCACACCGAGAAAAAGTTCAAATTAGGCTAGAATTAGATTCAAACTGGAGAACCGTGTTATTTGTCTAAGGGGTTACACCATATTGGTCGTTTGAAAAAATCCAATTTTCTTTTGCTCGAGGTACTCTCTATATGCTGGTTGTCCCAAAAATGTTGTAACACCTTGAAAGGGGTGGTTCGGGAGGTGATTTGAAACAACTTTTTCCTTAGCGAAAATGTTGTCCGAGGCTTCGTTAAGCAGATATTAACAGAGAACCTCGACTAATCAGAGCGCTTTGATTGTATTGTTCAAGTTCGTTAAAAATCTTTGCAAATAGCTCATCAAAAGCGTTATTAATACGATACAACAAAAATAATTGATGCACGCTCTAATTGATCGAGGTTTTTTTATAATATCTGCTTAACGAAGCCTCGGACATATTCGCTAAGGAAAAAGTTGTTTCAAATCACCTCCCGAACCACCCGTTTCAAGGTGTTACAACATTTTTGGGACACCCTGTATATACAGGGTGAGGCTTCCAAGACCGGCCACCTGAATTATTTGGCTGCTATTGGTGATAGGGCCAAAATGCGTCAGACCAGAATTATTTATTTTCGAGGGGCTGATCATCCTATGTTGCTAGTTTTTTTGATAAGTGGAGGCGTCGAGAAGATATGAAGGTCATCTCTGTTTTTTTAAACGGAATAGTAGTTCGGAATAGTACGGAGTAATAGTGTTTTTTGACTTACATTCGGATAGAGTATTTCAAAGACGAACACAATGACCTATTGGGAAGGTCGTTTGTGGGCCTGGGTTAAGCCAATTATGATGGAAAATAATTTACTTTGAGGAAATGCTCCAACTATGTTTAACATTCTCATTTGGGAACTTCTTGTGCAAAGTTTAAATCAAAGGGCTTTCAGCGGTAACCGTGATGTATAGGCAGCCATCGATAATTAAATTATTTTGCTCACGTCTCTGCGCCTGTTAACCATCAACTGTAAACTACGCGGAGCTAGACTTTAATTAAACGTGCAAGAGATATATTGACAAAATGATATTTACACATACGGTTAAGAATAGACAACAATATTTGGCAATTATACGTTTTTATAATACTTTCTGTAATACGAAGTCTCGCAATTGTTTTCATACTTGAAAGATACAAAGTGACGATAGTATAGAGAATATTAACGTTTTAATACGAGAAAAAAGTACAAGATTGGAACTTTTTAGGGACTTGTATGCTCTTTTTATTTTTAATCCGAAATTATTCTACTTATTTAAAGAGTAAAAGTTATTTCATTATGATGTAACTCTTGAGAATTGCGAGTTCCTACATTTTCGCTCAATTTTTACCGATTTAAGTTCCATTTTCTATAACGAAAGAGGATTAAAAGGAACTGAAACCCTTCTGGGAGTTGTAGCTTCTTTCATTTCTAAGGACGATTTTGTTCGCAAGCTCGGCTCCAAAATAGATACTTATTTGATGGAAGGAATATAGCGAGTACTTGAAGTACACTCGTCTGGTACGAGTAATGAAAAGGTACGAATCGGTTTAAATATACATATATTTTAAATATTGCAAAAGTTGATCGTTTGAATTCCATTTCAATAAATGAAATAAATAGACTGCAGATGTTCGCGCAAATTCATATGTTTATATGCTAGGCGTAGAAATTAATTCTGTACCTTTACATTCAATCGTTCCTAACTGTAGGTTAAATAAAAATGTTTACACGTGATTTTATTACGTTAAATGATTAACCGTTTAAATTCTTAATCTGATCTTCATTAAAATGAATCTATCTACAATTACGGCGGTCCTTGCTTCAATGATTTTTGAAATTTGTGTTACGCTCCCTCTAAATACCTTGCAAACAGATAAAAAAAAAAAATTACTGCAAAATTTAAGTTTTTAATTTTAACATTAACACGTGCTCCAAACCTTCGCAAGTTTTCAATGGAAAATACATACAAATCAAAATTAACCATAATCATTTTTAATACTCTAACTTTCAGTTTACTGAATATTACAAGCTGATAGTATGAATCAGCCTCAATTATTAACCCCTTATGGGTGTAACATTCAGGTTACATGTTTATATATCGACATTTTATCGAATAATTTTATTTTGTTCTCAAAATGATGTACACGTCTTAATTACATTATGTCTCTGACACCCAATAACAATATCGATAATCGTAGAATAAATTTTGGTCATTATTAGACTGCGGATCTTTATGGATTTATAGGAAATTTGATTGTGCAAGAAACTACAAAATGCAAACAACATGCAAGAATATAGAAAAGATTAAAAGTAAAGTTTATGTTATAATATTTGCCGAATAAAATAAATTCCTATTTAGGTTCAATTTTTGTAGGCCCGTTCGCGAATATTTTATTTTGCATAAAGATCCGCAGTCTAGTCACTATTAATTCATATTTCTGGTGCTTCTAGTTCTATTCGAATAATTATTCTTATAAATGATCGATCCAATTACTCTAGCAAAAATTACTATAGCAAAAATAAAATCAAGTGTACCAATATTTTTATGATTGGTATCAACAGAATGAAATCATTTTTTTAGTCAAATAAATTATTTAATCAATTAAATAAATAAATAAATAAATTATTTAATAAATTATTTAATTATTTAAACCATCAACCGAAAATATCAAAGTAAATGCCAAGTTGTCTGCAGGAAAAAAGAAATTCGGCTCATAGGACTCATTCTGAACATTCAATAAAATAACAAAAATGACCGATTTCGATCTATTTCAACTGCGCATTGAGTTTCTTTTAATAAACGATATACTGGGTATTCGAAAAAGTTCGTGGCGTTTTGCACTAGATCAAGATAAGAATGCTACGCAGGCTTGTAACAAAATTTTGGTTTTTACGGACAAAATGCTCTCTGAAAATTGTCATGTATCACGCTGTGGTCAACCAATCACAGAACGATGCGATGAAATCATGCAAATGGTTGCGAAACGAACTTTTTCGAATACCTAATATTTTGTCATACATATTTTGACATAAACTATGCGGAATATGAAAGAATCGCTCAAATAAACATTATTTGTTACTAAAAGAGCTATCCGAAACAACAAAAATGTATATGACATTCCGTTTAAAAATATGAATCGTTGTGTTCACCTGCCCCCCTTGGGGGCCATCGGGCAGTACCCTATACATCACATGCAAGGACCTATCGTACCCTATAATACTAGAAAAAGAAGACTTGTCGATATCACTAATATGTAGTTTCCGAGAAAATAGCCTGTAACACATTACCCGACTCACCCTGTATATATTGGTTATTGGGGTTAGAAAATAATTATTATTCAGTTATTCCCTTTTATAAGACACTCTCTATTTTGACCAGAGAGTTAGGAGCTGCGATGTTGCTCTCAAGAAGACTACGGTCGAACTGAGTATTTCGACGTCAATGAAAAAATGCAACGAAAACTATCGGTGCTCTCTTGTCTCGGGAAAGGTCTGCTGACTTTCTCTTTCAGCTCATCAACTAATTTCAAGAGACCTTTCCCGGTGTTGGTTTATTTTTGACCGTCGCGTCGGGGTCTTAGACTTCGAGTCGCCAACGGCCCGAAGTAACCAACAGTATAGTTTCCAATCGTATAAGAACAAAATTTTAGCATCGTAAATATTTTCGTTTCGAGCATTTCTTGTTAAAAGTGTTTCCTGGTTGGCGAGTTGTCTTACCTCGATAATTAAGAGGTGGCTTGGCACGCTCGGTATAAGAGTTCCATACATTGTAGGTGAACGAGTCAGGATAAAGGGGGTATCCAGTGTTGGTTTTGGCAGCTCTGCTCTGTCGTTTGGTGTACCTCCACATTGCCCTCAATTCTTCGCATGTCGGCTCAACGCGCTTCTCGGTGATGTCGCCGGTGTTCCCCGACTGCACTGAGATCGGATCGATGAATCGTACACCGGCCACCAACGGGCTGCTCGAATACGCTAACACGAAAGCGGTCCATACGGCCACAGTACGCATTTTCTGGCAGTGAAACAAACAAAAATAGGGAGAATCGTTAGGCGAAACGTTCGATACCAGCAGAGGTTCGGGACAATTTTACTCGAGTAACAGGTGACAAATATAAACTCCGTACAAGGATTCGCTCGCAATGGTCATTCGACTGAACAGTTATTCGTACAAGCTTTTGGTCGTTTAACGTCAGGTATCATTAGATTGTATTTGTAATTTAAACTGCAATTTTTCTGAGACGAATAATTAATTAAAAATTGCTTATTTTATATTTGCTATTGAAAATTTTGTAACTAAATAGATGTAAATGTAAATGTAAGGGGAATTTTATTCATCTCTGGTTACGAGTAGCATATCAAGTAACAATACGTTAAAATAATACTTTGACACAGTGGGAAAATTGCGATCCTTGAAATTTTGTACCCAGATGGGAATTTTGCCCATCTCCAATTAGTAATAGTACATAAAGTAACAATACATTCAAATAATACTCTGACGCATTGGGAAAATTTTGGTCCTTGAAATTTTTTATCCAGATGGGAATTTTGCCCATCTCCAATTAGTAGTAGTACAGAAAATAACAGTACATTAAAATAAAATCCTGGTACATTGAAAAAATTGTGGTACTTGAACACAATACAGACAAAACGAATTCTAGTTTTTTTTTATTTGAGCATTTTCTGTGATGTGTACAATTCGCTTTTCTTTTTTTCGACATTACATTGAAATTGAACGAGTTAAGTTGATATCGCAAAAGGTTTTCAGCTTTTCATGCTCTATCCCAGTGTGTAACAGGAACATTTTGTTCAAGATATTAAAAAAAACATAATTCTTTTTATGTATGATTTAAAAAAAATCATTTTCTGCATTTACAATTATATTCCATATTTATAGGTGATAATGTGTTTCATTAAAATGTTTTAATTTGCGAAATGGATCGTTTGTGTTACAGGAATGGAAGACATTGTTTTTGAAAGTCATGGAAAACGTGTGTTCCTGGAATAAATTTCTTTAGGTTGCGTTATTTTTCACTAAGAAACGATTCTCATTGTATTCTATTTTATTCGCATACTGTAAGACACAGAAAACTTTTTCAATTGCTCGAAAGAGAAACACAGGTTTTACATACGTCAAATTGTACATGACAAGTATCTATACTCATCACAGAAACAACATATTTATATAAAAATAGTATTTAATATTAATAATCAATTAATATAATAAACTGCAGAATATTTATGTAAAGACAATATCTTCCCTTCGTGCAATTGAAAACATCTTTCCCTGATTTCCGATGTGTAAATAAAGTGGAATATAATGAAAACTGTTTTTTGTGACAGATATCACGAAATAATAGAATTTATTGTCGCGGTGTGTTCCAATGGAAGCGTTGTTGAAAGTTTTACAATAACCAGCGAATAATATACCCGAAAACAGTGTGTCCCATTTACGTAAACCAAGTTTTGCATTGTACAAGTAGAAATTGTTTTTCAAATATCAGATAAAAAAATGATATTTTGTCATATTTCGATAGATCGTTCAGGATGATAAATTTATTAACGAATGCTTATATTTCCGATGATTAAAATTGTATGGATGGAATAATAAAGAAGATCAGTTTGTTTATAATAAAATTAAACTTTGTCTTTCAATGGTACAGTATAAAAGTCTAAACAATCTCTTCATGTACAGCTTCGTTCTAGTTGGTGTCGTTAAAGAGTTATATCAAGAAAATGAAAAGAACGCGTGGAATTGAAAAAAGGTTTAAAAAACATGTAAACAAGTTTCATTCAAAGTTTCAGTAAAAGAAGAATTTTCGAGCTCGTATAATTCTCTCGTTTGAAACCATTAATATTCTTTAAAATTATTAATCCCTTTTCTCTTTGCGCTTGGTCTCGGATTTGTTAAATAGACTTGTAGGTAAGTCTTCATTAAGGAAAGTGGAATTTAAAACAGAAAATGAACCTGAAATGTACTTTTGCTCGTCAAAAATACTTCGAAACATCACAATTTTATTCACAATACGCTAGTTAACCCTTTGCGCTCGAAGGGCGACTTAGAAGCGACAATCTTTGTTTATCTCAGATTTCATAGAATCTAACAAATAGCTTCCTAAGCTGTAAACTGGTATGTACACATTAGCAAGACACTTTGCCTCCACGACTCTCCAATCATGGTGGAAGAATGTTTAGTCGTTTAAAATGTTAGTTTTCTGTAACGAAACTGTCGTCGAGTGCAAAGGGTTAAATAAGACTATCGAATGAAATTGCTCGTATCATTTTATTCGCAATGGATGTCTAAGAAGCAACAAAATTAACCCTTTGCACTCGAGGCCTTTTTTTCTGGCATCTACCAGCAACTCGAGATGCTTTCTTACCATTCTATTGCCACGAATGCTAACCTTGGATTGACTTCGAAGATGAGATCTCTAGTTTGGGATTTGAAAATCAGGTCACCTTTACCTCGCCAACAATCATTCTATCGACACTTCGAGTTCCAATGAAATTAAACTTAAACAAACATTATTGCTGGTTGAATTACTGCGTCGAACCTAATGGTGATCAAGAGTATAATATGAAAAATTTGATGTCACTTCGATAACGAAGCGATAATTTCCGAAACAATTTCTTAAAGAGACGCATTGTGCTCGCAATAAATTTAACGTATATTAGGTGTAGAAATGAATTTCGAGTCTCCATATTCAATCATTTGTAACTCTAGTTTAAGTAGAAATATTTACTAGAAATGTTTAAAGTAACAACCTTTTAAGTCCTCAATCTAATCTCCATGAATCCATCTCTACAATGAATCTAGATGGATAACATAAGTCGCAACCTAATGGACACTTGTATATACATCTATATGTTCGAAGAATAGCAGCCAATACATTTTATTTATTGCTGTTTTTCTAACAAATTACTAGTGTATTTGATAATTGTAATAATTGTAGAAGTATGATAATAAGCAAAATTTCGTGGCTATTAATGTTCGTATAGATTCATTTCAATGGCCATCGGGTTGAGAACTTAGATGGTTGGTGCGTTAATGTATCAAAGTGACGAGTAAGTCTAAATATATCTATTTAAACTAGAGTTATAAATTATTAATTATAAAGACACAGAATTAATTTCTACACCTAGTAATTGGAATTGAACAATCTTACTTTATTTAACGACGATGTGATTCTCGTCTCCGGCTGAACGAGTCGTTTAACGACTTGGTTAATCGTTCTTGTTCTCGATATCGAGCTAACGCTACTTGACGAAATTGTTTCCTTGATCGGTACCAGTTAATAAGATACTACAATTTTTTAATAATTACAACCTAATAGAATAAAATATTGGTAAATTAGCTGGAAAGTTAATTATTATAAGGAAAACCTCATCAAGGTTAAAGTTCCTTTATATTACAAAATGCATTCAATGTAACAAAAATTTATTCAGAGTTTTTAAAAATATATTGTAAGGTATCCTTAATTCCTTAATGCGTGTGCATTTGTATAATGTCCGTACCGTCTATAGTGTGTAGTCGTGTGGTGTGTGTACAATATACAGGGTGTCCCAAAAATGTTGTAACACCTTGAAAGGGGTGGTTCGGGAGGTGATTAGAAACAACATTTTCGCTAAGGAAAAAGTTTCAAGGTGTTACAACATTTTTGGGACACCCTGTATAATGTGTGTGGGGTTTTTTCAGGTGATTTTGGGAGTTAACGAACGTCTCTTTTTTTATTTCCAATTAGTTACGTTCCACGATAAAGACGTATGAACACATATTCTATTTTTCTGTGAAATTAGATTACGTGAGACCATTTTATATATTTCAACATATTTCGTCGGGTATCCTTTTTGACGAATAATCAACAACGAAATTAACGAAGAAAATCTCTTTCGGACGTTCAGACATATTGTACGTAATTGTTTTTAAATATCCTGTTCCAATAATACTTCAATCCTCTTGCAATCGTTGTTTCAACATTTCCTTTCATGTTGTTGTTGTTTTTATAATTCGCTTGTCTAAATCATCTTATAAATTTTCAGTCGAATTCATGTCTGGGGGTTGGCGTGAAAGACTTAAAATTTTTGAACAAATAAGTGTGTTTGTATAATACGAGCTATACATTTTGAGTCATTGTTCTAATAAAACTTAAACCTTTTATGAATACATATTCTGTTTCTCTGTAAAATCAGATTGGATGAGATTTATGTGAATTAATTATTAAGAATAAAGTGTTTAAAGTGTATCGTTGAATTTGACTTATGAAGCTTCCTTTGTGTGTTATGATTGTGTTGTTCAAGTTTATCAAAAATCCTGACAAATAACTCATGAAAATAGTTATCAATTAAAAGTATCTCTTACAATATTCAGAACGTTCAACACGTTAACCGCCAGACAAATATTCTTGAAAATTTCTGCTACGATTAAATATTATTCAGACTATTGGCCACTACTTAATCAAACATCTATCGTGGTATTTATTTTTGTAACTTCGTCGAAATTCATGAATTTCGTTTAAATTCATTTCCTTTGATGCTTAACATTTAGCATTAATTTGTTTAGTTGTTCAGTGAATAGTAATGTCACCCATACATGGCTTACGTGGCGACGAACGTGTTAAAAACTAACTCAGATTTCGTACTTCCCATCCTAGAAAAAACTACAATGAAACAAACAAGGGAAGCAGAAATATCAGAGCAGTTTAGTTTTCATCTACGAATGTCACCATTTCTGAATCGACGCTAGAGCCATTTATTCGTTTTGAAAAATGAATTTGAAACGTGAACGCTAGTAAGTTCATCATTTGATGATGACTTTCATTTGTGATTTCATTTTTGCCCCCAGCAGAACAGAAAATCCAATTATCCTCGACGTTCGCGTTGTGGAATTTCAATTAGGTATCGCGCAGTCTTGTATTATTTCATCAATCGAATACGCGGTAGGAAGCGGATTATATTGTTCCACGCGTTGGATATTTCGAGCATATTGCCTGTTATTGGCTTATTAACCATTTGACATTTGAAAAATTAATGTTTAGCGTATAACACGGAATTTTACGCTTCCTGATGGTTTGCTCGCGTAATTCCGTTTCGTCTCGCGTACGAAATCGTAATTCCTTCGTTTAACTTCGTTTAACGTTAACGTAATGGTTGTAATCCAAGAGTCTATTTTTATTCCACTTCGAGAGAGAGCTTAGAGGTTCTTTATTTTATTTAACGAGTAACCGTAAGTAAATGATTTTACGTTTTTTACGTTTTTAATACCGAGTACTGTCGAAAGTAATACAATTATGAAGGTGGACATCAAAAATTTGTATCGTTAGAAATTTAGAGAAAAATTACAAAATATGTTTTGAAGCATCGATGTTGTAAATATATAGTGTATAAAATGAAAAGATTTTGATAATTGTTTCATAACCAGGAACAAAATTCGAAGTGACCGTGAATTCACGTCAGCGGTCGCGAATGTGTTAATAGCTCGGGAAAAAAATAAAAATAATAATAAGATTTGAACATTTTTAAGTAGTTGTTCCGCGGATTTATTTAACGAAGGATTTCAACGAAACTTCGCTTGATTGTTCTTTGATTAAATATAAATCACGCGAGCCTATTTCGATTTAAAGTGACCAATTTTATGAATAACGATATCGAGATTTGGTTCTTTAATCGGAATCGATAATGCAAGTCAACGATAATAAAGTCAAGCAAAAGTAAAACACCGTATAAAGCAATAATTGAATTTCATTAATTTGAACGTACAATGAAAATCAACGATGATAAAATAAAACAATTACTGAACATTACATCAAGCAACGATATAATTATTAATAATTTAAAGTAGTTCCTACTTCGATTTACCACCGAAATTTTATGAATAACGATATCGAGATTTTGTAATTTCACCACAGACTGTTATGAAACGTACAGATTTTCACGCGAATTTTTTCAATTTAAATCGCGAATGCAATTTCGGATCTTGCTGAAATTTTGATATGTTATAAAAACCGATGCTATAAAGCATTAAAAAAAGAAGAAATTACAATCATTCACCGCGCTATTACTGAGAATTAATTAAAGTCTGAAACTAGACGTAGAGAAGTTGTGCAGTAACAGTCAACGTTGTTGCCACAATCATTTTTCGAGTGTTACTAATGTTATGTGTAGATATACATATTGATTTATTATAGACGTGTGTGAGAGCAGTAAGACTGTACTTGCAACGTAAGTTTCCAATTATATTTTTGAACGTGACCATCTCGAAACAACTACCTCAAATCAACCAGTGAACCTTGTAACCAAATTATAAGCGTCAATTTTCACGCTATACCTACGTTCTGCCTCGATGTCCAACGTCGTAAACGTAACGAACAAAATTAAAAAATCATTCTCGGTTGTTGTCGAGAGAATAATAACAACAACAACAACAACAACAATAATAATAATAATAATGATAATGATAATAAAAGAAATAAGTAGAAATAGAATCACCTACCGTCAAGCTGTTTCCCGTAAAATCACTAACAGCTGTTCTTTGAATTAATCTTCCTTACTCGCTGCTTCTACCTCGATGAACGCGTTTCGGGCATAACAGGTTGCATTACGAAGGACAACGTTTCATTTAGTAACCGGAGGTCAGCGTTGTCGTCGGGGACACCGATTCCTTTTCGCGATAAAGCAGGGAAATTAGTCGCCAGCGATACGTCACGATTACCCACCCTTATTTTTCCAGCTCCGTGGATCCAAAAAAAACTAACGATCTAAACGGCTGCAAACTTACGTCGACTATTCCCTTATTATTACCATTCGGTGGTCCACGGACCCAAGAGATCGGAGCCGTCAACGTCTCGGTACTCTCGAACGGTTTCCGCGAAATTCGCACTAAAATGCTCCCTTGTTATTCATCGTTGCAGGAATTGTTTCCGTGCGTTCCGCGATAATCGTACGATCAACGAGAGGGAAGGTAGCCGGAAGACGGACAACCCGAGCGAACAGCCGGGAAAAATAGCGAACGTCGCGGTGAAAGTCGCGAGGAAAACGGTCCTCGGACCGAACTTTGATAAATCGGGCAACCAGCGAGCGAGCAAAGAACGAGCACGTACATATGAATGGAGCCAGCGGACACACAGAGCGGGGGAGGTGGAACGAAGGCGGAACAGAGAAAGAGCGAAACAGAGAGGGTGCCAAGGAAGGAAGGAGGTCAAGAGTGGAACGTGGAGAGACTGGTGAATGAACGAGAGTCGGATTCACTAACCTGCCAGTCCACGCAGTCCGGAAACCGAGGAGCAACTGAGAGAGCTGCTACCATCGGCCCGACTATTTGACTTCCTTTCCACCCCCGCTTCGAGCGCACCCCTGCGTTTCGACTCCCTCTCCGACCTGCTCGACCTCTCCCTCTACTCCCCTGCCTTCTTTTCTCTGTACGGTACTCTTCCACTCTCTGAACCGTCGTTTCAGGACGATGTCCAACATGGCACGAGTTCTTCGAAAGAATGCTTTTCCCGTCATCCACCAGCTTTCCGTAGAAATTTATTCAACATTCCACGTTATCGTAATTCCTTCGTTTTCTTTAACCAATTTCAGGCTCTTTCGATTTTGCCCAAGAGCTCATTCGATATTCGTCAT